TATTAAGTTCAACAATAATGTACTAATTTAAGTATAGTTATACATTTTAATTAATCGTGATTGAATTTAATGGTTATACTTTAAGCATATTATTAATAAGAAACATGAGTGCCTAGCAACTAGAAATAACATTTTTATTTTAATGATATTTTATCCAAAGAAGTAATTATTAAACGTACTGGCCTCGAAGTTTCAATGCCTTATCGAAATCTTTCTGTTCGATGGCTTTTGATATTTCCAATGTATTTTTAACACATTTCATCAATGATTGGTGTTCAATTGTATTAGCATTAAGACAAACGACTTTTGGTTCAGATGTTTTTGTGGCTTCTAATAAACACACAACAGCGTGTGCGCCCATGCGTGAAGCCTAGTATAATAAAAAAAAAAATAAAAAATAAAAATAGAAAAATAAAAAACTTATAAAATATAAGCTACAACATCAAAATTATTAAGTAATAATTTATGTTATATACCTACCAAAATTCTATCAAATGCTGAAGGACTTCCACCTCTTTGAACATGCCCCAAAACGGTTACCCTAGCATCTTGTTGTAATCTGTCTACTAAAACATTTTTAACCATTTCTGATGTAATTGCAGTACCATTTATATCAACAGCTCCTTCCGAGATAATTATAATGTTAAGCCTTTTACCATATTTCCTCGCCTAAAAAAATTTGTTTTACAAACAAATGTATTCAAACTTGTCTTCTACTTTGTAATAAACAATTTTAATAGTAATAGTGATGGTCGATAGATGACCTATAGTGTCCAGATTGAAACATCCAAACAGCTATCATTAACTGCTCTACAGAATAGTCGAAAAATTATTCTTGGCCAAGATAATGCCCTTAAAATTAACTTAAATTTTTTTCAGTGAATTTTATATTTATTTAAATTTTTTATTTAGTTTAATTAATGGCTCTTAGATAAAAAAAACATAAGATGAATTAATGAAATAATAAGTAATAGCTAATAACTAATAATTTATAAACAATGATTTTTATTTTAACAGTATTTTCTTGATATTATTAATTTTAAAGATATAGTCAAATTTAAAACATAGTTTATGTTTATTTCTGTATTTCACTATTTTATATCTAGGTACCTGTTTAATGGTGAGCTATGTATTAAACCTAACGATATTTAATATAATTTTCTGATTTAGACACTAAATCGTTATTTATAAATTAGTAAAATGAACCAAGTGCTAAAAAAAATACTTGATATCAAAAAATAATGAAACGTGCAAAATAAAAGTTACACTTTAGTAAGTACCTATATGTTACATAAATTATAAGCATAATTATATTTAAATGACTTTTTAGTTGTTTTAATCAAAGTTCCAGATATATAATACAGAAATATTAACATACCCTTTGTACATTTTTGCATAATTTATCTGGCCAATCCAATTTTTGCGGCCATTCCCTAATGAATAAGTAGTCAGCTTCACACATCAACGCACTTTTAACAGCTAAATAACTGTAGAACAGAGCACATATTATGTATTATAATTTACTTAAGTCTTAAATCGTTAATATTAAAGTTAACATTACCCACAATTGCGACCCATAACTTCCATTATAAATGTTCTTTGATGAGAAAATGCAGTGCTTACAATAGAGTCTATTGCTTCAAGTATTCGGTGAAGTGCTGTGTCAGCACCAATGGTCATGTCAGTGCCACTGAAATCATTGTCAATTGATCCAACAATACCAACCAAGTTTAAATGGTCAAATTCTTTTGATGTTTCTTCATCTATCTCCCCTACACGGTTATTTTAACTTGTTATAAAAACTCAAAGGAAATAAACAATAATTAGGTACCTTTTTTTAAAAGTTCGTCAATATAGCTTGGCCATTCTTCACGAAAAATATTAGCACCAGACAAGGAACCGTCTCCGCCAATTACCACCAAATTAGCAATGCCAAGTGATATCATATTTTTGGTCGCTTTCATCCTACCTTCTTTAGTCATAAACTCCATACATCTTTTTGTTCCAATAATAGTACCACCCTTAAGTTTAAGATTTTTTAAGTAAGAGGCACTTAATTTTAAAACCATCGCCTTAAAACCATACCAAATTTAGAGTAAAAGATACGTCATACCAATTAGCTTTTGTTATAAATTCATTGCCTTCAATAAGTCCATAATATCCCTCTTTGACGAAATAAACGTTCACACCTAATTGAATCGATACTCTAACAACTGATCTTACAGCCGCATTCATTCCTAAAAAATTACATGAGTGTCTAACTAATAACTATAAAGTGTTTCTATAACTATTACCTACTTTATTAATATCGATAGGTGTAATATAACGAATACAAAGTTTTTCACTATCAAAATCTTACCTTGAGAATCTCCCCCACTAGTCAAGACTGCTAATGTTATTTTAGAGTTCTTTTCACGCGGATACTTTTTTAAAATCGATTCAAAATCATAAAATGACCTAAACATAAAAATGTATCGGAATTTATTTAATAACATTACAAATTAAGTTATAGAATACTCACATTTTATTAAATTTTTCAATTAGATACCTATTTAAAAATATATAATGTACGTAATAACCAATAAGTAATAAATATTTTGTTTGTTGTTTATAAGTGTAGCGTAGTTAACACTAAAATAACTGGCAGACTCCTAATAAATGTTTTTTTTTATACTTAGCTGATATTTTTTCAAAGACTTAAAAATTATTTATTCAAGGATAATAAATCATTAGCTATTATAATATAGTTGTAGTATTTAGTACTTCATTCGTAATTTTTTGATTTATGCTTTCTTTAGTTTTATATAAACCTTGATTGACAATAATGCCAATTGAAGTACACCCATCACTACTTTCTACTGTTCTGGACGGTCCGTATTTTGATGAACTAGACCGAAACTATTATTTAAAGCTTTTATCGAAACTTGACCAGACTGAATTATGATTTGATAGTTTCAAACAAATCAAATCAATTGTTATTGTAAAACATATTGAGAAAACTGGACAAAAACATTTTCTTTTTCAAATAATTTATAAACCTAACTAAACCTATAATAATTTGTTATGATTATATTTTTTTATATTTTTTAACGTAGGTAGTACATAACATAATAGTTAACAATTATAGTAAACTAGCGACTGTCTGGGAAAAATTTGTGTAACAACAATTCCAGACAAGCACTGGATACAGGCTCTTATAAACAAGCCATAAGCCATAACAGTTAAATTTTAGAATAGTAAGTATCTAAGACAGAGCGTTATTATTATCGTCAGCACATTACTATTGTTCGACCATTTAATAAAATAAACCAATTTTAATTTTATTGTAAATTTTCTTTATAAATTTTAAATATAGAAAGTAATAAGTAGTTCGAAAGTGTCTATTAAAATTATTTGTGCATGAACATCCTTGGAAGTCCGTAACAAATTAAAGTACAAGACTAAATTAACAAGGCTATTTTATTTTTTTTTTAATATTGGATCGAATTAATCTGATATTGTTTGAAAAAAATACCAAGACGAACCACAATATATTATATATATATATATTTTTTTAAATTAATTAAAATATACTTTACATAAAATAGATAATTACTATTTATACAATTAACTAGAAATTTAAAGTAAAATTTATTTTATTTATTACTTTATAAGATACTACTATAGATATATATTATATAATATAATTAATGGGATACATAACGTAATAACACGATTTTCATTTTACACTATCTAAATTATTGTTATCAAAGTTCAGTTAAAGCTTGTAAGTTGTAATATGTTTTCCTTGGTAAAATATAAATATATAGACTTAATAGATTATAATACTTAAAATACCTAAGAAGTCTTAAGAAATCACAGTGCGCCTGGGTCTATTGTCTTTGTTTTTCTGAAAAATTAATATTGACTTGAAAAGATTAGGTCCTAGAGCATTCATTACAATTTATTACATTTTGGCCATATTTTCATTTCCCTTGTACATATCTATTCTATATTATAATTATTAGTCAACAGTACACCAAGTATATCATGCTAATATTATTTGACCATGTAGAAGATTACAGATACTCTCTTCCCTACCATAATTAATAGACATAATACCAGATTCAATATTCAATAAAATGTTATGCATCCACACTTAATACATTAAAATCATAAAGATAAATACCTAAAATAATAATTATAGTATCTAGGTACATAATATACTTTTTAACTATTAGAAACCAAGCAAAACTTTTCAATACTCAATTGACTTTTACCTATTATTCAATTTCATTCATTATTCTTATTTTACTACACTTATAAATTAATTAATTATAGCTCATAAATAATTGAAGCGATTATTTCAGAAATCCATCAAACGTCAAAATGATGAAAAATGTGTTAGGTTCAGATTATTGTTTTATGAAATAAAACACTTCGTTTGGTGCAAAAACCCATCAAGTATTGAAACTCTATGGCTGTTTAATTTTTGGTCAAATAATGTGTTTAGTTCAGAAGCCTATTAATAAATGGCATTTGACGATTTTCAACAACAAACTGGGAATTTTAAAATTTGCACTTAACGTGTTTCTGAAATAATTGATTCAATTATGAAAATAGACTTTTCGATGTAATTTTAAATTTATTTGAGTTCCAATAATATCCAACTATTAAGAAACCCATTACACTAATTTTGTCTTTGCGTTCACTGTTTTGCTATGGTCCTTTGACATAAAACCAAAATAAATACCTTTAATCCTTTAATGAATCAGCCGTATTCTGATAATGACTAATAACAAAACTATTTGAAACAATAAATTAGTAATATATTATAATAATTTTTTATGGTTTTATTAGATAAATTGTAAATAATTTACCTATACATGTTATCTTAAAATATATATAGAATATTTAATAATTTTATTTAAATTTTCAAATGATTCAAATTTATGAATTGTATACATTTAATAATAAATTTTAAAAATTTGGCTAAAAAAATATTAAATTATTTAATATTTATAACATTTAAACAGATACTAATAATAGTTTTAAATATTATTTATCTGCAATTACTGGATTTTTCATTTTACCAATACTTGATATTTCACTTTCGATGACATCTCCAACCTGAAAACATGTTGAAACATTATTATTTTGACAATTGTAATACACATTGTTACTATAACATTATTTATAATAAATTCATACTTTTAAAAATTCTTTTGGTTCTCGAAATACGCCAACTCCACTAGGTGTTCCAGTAAGAATAATGTCTCCTGGCAATAATGTGATCAAACTAAAATTGTTTGGTTTTTATTAGTATTTATCAATGAATATTTTAATTTAATAATAGTATTTACATTTTTTTCGATTTTGAAATAGCTAATAAAAATATTAATAAAGATATATTTTTTATTTATTTATTTATTTATTATTTTTTTTTTTTTATGATAGTAAGGATTTTAGTGCATATTTTAGAAAATTAAGTTATAGAATGATCAGTTTTAGAAAATCTGTATTTTAGAACATAAAACTTTAGAAAAATTTTAGAATATAAATTATTATTACCAACTCTTATTGTAAAATTATAATAAAATTTCATTTTTGTAATCGGGAAAATAGAAAATATCAAAATACAAAATTTTTAAATTCAAAATTATGTTAAATTGTAATCATTATCAAATTTTATTTTAGTGGTATTATCAAATATTAGTGTAGACTCATAATACAGTTCAATATCTACAATTAGTTAATATCTGATAGAGAAGACGAGAATTATCAAAAAGTAGTTCACATTATTCTAGTACTGTACATCATACACTTGTATTTGATGTTATAAACAATCATTATAAAATGGTTACTATGAAACTTTAAATTTCTACATATTATATAACATTACATACAAACAAGTATGCAGTAAATAAAATAAATATTTCAAAAATTTTTATACTCTGAAACGTACATTTTCAAAAACTTTGTGTTCTAAAACTAGGAATTCTATTGTATGACTTATTAAAACTGTTATTTTAATATTTAAAACATCAAGAAAACATTCATGATATTGATATTGTAACAAATTACCAATATTGTAAGCTAATAGTTGTTTTTATTACATAAATTAAGCTGTATTCAATACAATATTTGCAATTAATTAATAGACTATTTTGTATACATTAATAGCTTAATTTAACAACAACAAAATAATTATGGTAACTAATTTAAGTTTAACTTGATAATTTATTAATTATTTTTGTATGTATATTTAATAAATGGCTATACTAAAATCTAATAATAAAGTAATACCTATATTTAAAATAATTTGAAGTATATCATAAATATAGGCACATCCATTATTTTATTCTGGTACACGGGTAAAAATTAAAAGTAAATAATAACAATTAAATGATTTTATTTCGCTTCAATAATATTAAGTTTAATTAGATAATTTATTAAATAAATACTTTTATTAAATTAAAATATAATACACACAACCAAAAATTATCATATTATTTACTTACTTTGACAAAAATGAAACTAATTTATCAACTCTGTGAATTAGTTCTTCAGTTGAACCACTTTGCTTCATGACACCATTAATTGAACATTTTATTTGTAATAAATGTGGATCAGGAATTTCATTTTTATGTACCAAAACAGATCCCAAAGGGCAAAATGTATCCATACTTTTTGCTATAAAATATATTGTGGATTTAAAAATGTATATATATTAACACAATACAATTGTAGCACTATGATAATAATTTACCAATCAACCATTGTCCATTGTTTCTAGTTTTCTGCCAATCTCTTGCTGATATATCTTGAGCAATAGTGTATCCAAATACATATTTGTATGCATCATCAACACTAACATTTTTACATGTATTTCCAATGACTACAGCCATTTCTACTTCCCAATCTAATGCCTAAAATTTTAATAACCGTTTACAATAAAAAAAAAAAATAATACATGTAATAAAATTGGAAATTTTTACAACTATTAATTTACTTTTGATTTTGATGAATGCTTTACAGCATCATTTGGGCCAATAATTGTACTTGGGAATTTTGAAAAAAAAAATGGCTCTATGGGATATGGTTTATTTTGTTCATCACAGTGTCCTTTATAATTCAATCCTACACATATAACCTTGAACATATTGAATACATCATTTGTAAAATTTTATAATAAGTAAGTATAAGCAAAACATTATACAATTATTATAACGATTATAGTATTCTTACTTTATCTGGTTTAGTAATACATGGTAACAACTCAACCTGATTCAACTGCAAGACTTTCTTTTTTTCTTTAACTATCCTTCAATTTAACAACACAATACATAATTAATGGATATCAAAACGTATTAATTTGTTATTTTACACGAACTTTTCAATTCTTTCAATTGAGTATTCACTGTGTAAAAACGATACCATATCAACGGGAATAATTGAATCAGTACTATTTAAGCTCACTATTGATTCACCACCATCCAGCTGAACACCCAAACCTCGATCACAGCCATCTCTGTATTGAACAAATCTCATTGCTTGGTGATTAGTGCAGCTAAAAAATCTAATATTGTTCTGTATTCTAAAAGTGTTTTTTAGAAATCGACATGAAACACGGCTAAAACTCATAATGGTATTTTTTGAATTAAAATATACAGATATTATATTGTATGAAAATGCTATACAAAGATAAAAACGATAGTAGTAAGTGATATCCAATAGTACCCAACTTACTAATTAGTAATTAGTTATTTTAACAATTTTCACATAAAAAACATCGATATTTTAATTATTGCTAAGTTCGATAGACTACGGTATTGTCGGTAGACGGTAATAGGTAATAATATTGTTTTCATTTATTATTATCTACATTATTATCTGGATGTACTCTGCCGTAGAAGTATACTTAAATAAATTATAATAAATTGGTATTATAGTATTTACCTTCATCTGCTTATCACATTGCGATAAAGAATAATATCATTGATAAAAAATATTTTATGCTTAACGTCAATAAATAAATAATAACCATAATGTATTACAATTTACAATTACCGTCTCACACGTTTAATCGTGTCTAAACTCTTCGTATAATTTAAAGTTTGAAGTTTATGTCATAGACTAAGAGTAGAATTAGGATTTGTATGAGTTTGCATACTTCATTTTATTTGCTTAAAAATTAGCTATATAGAACCCAAATTTGAATCAAGTGACGATAGAGAAGATTTGAATGTCAATAGATGAAACAACAGATGCCACTGGACGTTATAAAAACTTATATTACAATTATTTTAAATAATTTTCAATAAATTATTAAATAAATTGTAAAAAAAACTTTAAACTAAACTTATTTCAAAAGAATATTCTAAAAATGAATAATTTACTTTGCATATTTTCAATTTTGTATGTTTTTAGAACATAGTAATACTCAGAGTTATTGTCTATAGATTATTCAACTAGTGCTAGTACCTACCCTTATTATAAATATATAAGCATATCTAATATAGTTCTGACAACTAGTTAACTTATAAACTTCTAATATAGTCAAATATACTATGCAAAGTTCATATGACATTCTATAATTGCATCCAAAAATTATGAATAAGATTTAGGTAGAAACTCAAGTAATTTATTTGTAAATAGTAAAAATATCAAATTATTATCAGTTCAGTATCAAAAATTATAAATAAAAATAGTTACTACTAGTTAATGGATGTTGTCTATCATCAGGTTACTTCTGACATTAATTATTAAATATGAAATAAAATATAGAAATCATGCACACATAGTAATTTAAATAGATAATTAACAATAAATTCAAATCTTGTAAAATTTTGAAATTCAAACCATTAAAATTGTTGACAACTTTATAAATTTACAACTTTAAATTAAATTTTAAATCTCAATCAAAAACAACCAATTTATTTTGAAAATTACTATGTTATTAAATGGTTATTTTTATTAAATATTTGTATGGACTGGTGGCATAGTGTACTACTCTTCTCATTATATCTTTTCTTATGCATAAAATGTAAACAATGATAATTGTTTTCTGCTTCTACCCAATGTTGAAATATTTAAAAATAAAAAGTAATAGTAAAAAATTGTCTATTTCATAGTGTCTAAATGTAAATATTAATTTTAAAGAATAAAAATATCAATGAAGTATAAAAGATATTAAAAATGATATATTACAAAAATAATCAACTATACACCAAGCAGGAAATTTCAGTTCAATACTTGATCATTTTGAAGTATTATAAATTATTATAATTTTATGATATTTAACTCTTAGTAAAGGGCTCTTTTTTTAATAATTAAAAAAAAAAAAGTTTAGTCACCTGGCAATTTTTATACTGTTAAACAATATGATTAATTAAGCTATGTAGTTGCTATTATCAATTATTAACACTTAAAACTTTACTATATTAAAATCACTAATATAGCCTTTAGGGACTGTGTCCATTTCCAAAATTTAAGGAAAATTGAAACATTTTTTAGTGTACCATTAATTTCTTGTGCAAGACTTACTCATATACTAGAATTGTAATTTTTGTTAAAATTGCTAGAAGTCTAAAACACTGTATATCCATAGTATCAGCATATTAAACTTATAAGATATCCTAAAATTTCTAGTTAAAGAACTAGAGCTTCTCTCAAACAACATACGTCATCATTATTGATAAATACATAAGCGTAATGAGAAACCTTTCTTCAGTATTGATTAAAAATAAAACTAATGAAAAAAAAAATAGAAAAATTGAAATTTTTACACAACACCAATATTTTGTAGTATGTATATTTAATTTTATATAATGTTATGTTATTTAGGGTTGTGATGTCATATAAATATTAATTTAATGAATTTTTCATTATTTTCAAAACAATTGTATTCTTAATTTAGGAAGCCTCATAACTGATAATTTGTTAATAAAGGATTAATATTTATCAGTACAATAGTAACCATGTATTATGTACACAGGTTAAATTTATTCTTATAGTATCAAAGAAGATCACTATAAAATGATTGACTTTCTAAAATAGTCAAATTGAATGTAATGTGATCATTGTGCATAGTTCATTACTAATGATATTGTAAAAATTAGTAACTATTTGACAATAAATTATTCAAAAATGTCTTTATTCAAACACATATATTACAAATGAGATTGAATAATTTAGATAAAAAGTACACATTAAATATTAACAATAACAGTTTTTAATAGTTTTTGCTTTTGTCGTTTTCTTTTCTTTTGAACATTTTGTGTAATGTTAAATACCAATTCTTCTTCTTCTTGACTATTATTTATAAACATCAACGAGTGTAAATTTTCTCCCACTAAATCCTATTTAACATAAAATTAATTTAAAATTAAGTAATAATTTAAATTCATTTTAATATAGTCAAGTAATTATTAAGCACTGCTTACTCTAAATTCATTTGTTTTCTTTGTAGCAAGTACATTTAATTGCCTTAGAATAGGCATCATATCTTTGACAGATGATATTGGTTTGTGCAATGTTTGTATTAAGAATATTAATGACCGGACAACTGGCTCAATCCCATGGTGCATATGGTTTAACAGTGGTATTAACGATTCCATAAAATAACATACACTTGAAAAAGGCATAAGTAATAAAACTTCTTCCAACTCACTATAAATTATATAAATTTAATTTTTAGTCACCAAATGTATAAATTATAATTATTGAAAAATAAATATTATTCTAGTAAATTAAACTTGCCTTGAACGTATTCTTTTAATTATTTCTAATAAATAATCGTCAGTAGTTTTAACATTAAACGCAGTCATTATTATTGGTAATGATGGTTTGTCAACACCTTTATTTTCATTTTCTAATATGCTATCTTTATACTCTTTGATTACATTTAAACACTCCAACAATAATTCAGCCTGAAAAAAAAATAATTAAAATTAATTAAGAATAATACCAATGGATTGTCATTTTATTACAGCTTTTTCAGATGAAATGGTCTTTTTTGTCGGTAATGCAAGAACAGATGGTCCTCCATACACATTGGTTTCTTCACCTGTGGCTAATTCTTTTTCATCTTCTTGTGTTCTTTCTTCTTCCCGTTCATCTTCTAATACAAGAGGCTCTTCGGTTTTCTCATATAAGCGTATAACATTGTCTTGGCCACAACTAGCAATATAATAACCATTTCCACTCACAGACATATTATGGCATTCTCCTCTGTGACCCTAAATTAAATTAAATACATGACATAATAACAACAAAAGATAAATTGTAATTATTTTCTATATATTTACTTGAAGTGTCAAGACTCTTTCAAAAACATCAGCATCCCAATGTTTGACATTTCCATTCTTATCGGTCGTAAAAAACTGATGGGTCTTGGGAATAAATTTAATACTGGTCAATGTAGACTCTGTAGTTAAACGCCTATGACAGTCTCCATAATCCAAGCCCCAAATTCTGATTGTCTTATCAGCACTTGCTGTTATAATAATTGATGAATCATAACTTATGTCTAAATCATTAACCGGAAGTGTGTGTCCATAAAGATCAATAAAGTGCTAAAAAATAAATAATGTTATTTTCATTATCTATAACTATAAAAAGTTTGTTTTCATATATTCAAAGAATAAAATAGTAACACTCACCTTAAATGTATCCATAAAAAATATTTTGACAGTGTTATCCAAAAGAGCAACTGCTAACAATTTGTTATCTGGGCTTACTCTCGAGCACTGAACGTTTTCATCTAACTTTAATGTCTTCAAATGTAATAACGATAATACTTTTCGATCAGAATTTTCCAAAATTACTAATTCTAATTGCCATAGTTTAACTGTGCTATCACCACCACCCGTAACACAGCCCAACTAAAATGGTTATTAAAAAGAATTATATCAGAATAATAAAAATAAAAATGCATTTTATTTTGTTTTTACCTCATCTGGCAACATATAAATTGACTTCAAATCTTTTAGATGAGCAGAAATGCTTTCAATAATATCTCCTGCAGCTATGTCAATCACTAACAATTTACCGTCTTCAAGACCAGCTAAAATGTGTCTGTCGCCAGGAACCACACATAAACATTGAACAGGGCTAGATGTCTCCACAGTTCGAATGCAATTAAGAGATTTTTTGTTCCACATTTTAACAGACTCTGAGCCTCCAGTAAATATAGCTAAATTGTCTGAACTAAATGCTAAAACTCTTACATTAGATCTATGGCCATGTAATGAAATCTTTCGAATTAGTTTTACTTCTTTACCAACTGCTAATGACACAGAATAAAATGCTAAAGTGTTATCTGCCATACTCACAACAACCTGTTAAAAACATAGAGATTATATAAAATATTTGACTATGAAACTCAAAATTTTAATTCATTTGACTTTACTTTAACATGTGTTTGAGTTACAACCAAATCAGCAGATTTAATTTTGTAGTCAGTTAAAATAGGAGGTAAACGTCTAACCACATCTTGTAATGCAGGATTTTTTTCATTTAAAAATGCTATATCTTCATCATTTTCACCGCGTCTATTAGACAATTAATAAAGTTAATCCAATAATAGTGAACACAAAAAATTACTAGAAAAAAAATTTCTATGGCCTATGTTAAATATAAATATATACAATGGTAGTAAAAATTAGTGTTTTTGATTTTGCAAACCCAAAATATCTTATACATGTTATAATGTGTCGATTATAAGATTTACATATTTCAATAACATAATATAAATACTATTAAATGTAATATTTAACTTACTTAGAAGCTTTTTTCCTGAATTTTCGTTGACGATTACGTAAACGTTCTAATGCTTCACCATCTCCACTAAAAATAAATAACTCTAGCAATTTACCATGTCCATGAACACAGAGAACATGGTTTGTACTGTCTGTAGCTGAAGAAAC